ACTGACCGCCACGAAATATCATAATAGTGCTGAAAGTGGCGTTAACAACAGATCAATCAATCATGATTATAAACTTGAGATTGATAAAGTTTTTGCCTACTTTGATCTGAAGATCTGTGCTTACATTTTAAACTTTTGCGTTCGATCATGTAGAAATGTAAAAAGGAAATGTTTCAATTGTTTATCGATTAAATTTGTCGTTTTGTATTTTTGTTTCCTTCTTCTGCCATGGCAGTGTCAGTTTGATTTCGACTAAAAGAGTTTGAATGTCCTATTAGTACCTTTCGCCTCTATTTAAATTCATTTACAAATCTACTACGGTGTGATCGCTTTTTACAAAATGTAACTTATCAGCGGATTTCATGGTGTTCTTTTTTGATTTTGATTAATTGTTCTAGCTTAGACTTGAGAAAACTCTCCACAAGAGACCAAATGACGTAGAAGTTAACAATTATAGGTGTCAGTACAGGTTTATTTGTCGATATGCATTTCTGCATTTTGATGCGGATCTGGATTTTTACACTTTTAATTTGTGAGCATTTTTATTAGAAGAGCATAATAATTTGTGAATTTCACGTTTTCAAAAATTTTAATCTATTATCATGATTATGTCTATATTTATATAAAATGATGTTAGTTTTGTTTATTTTAGATATCACAGAATAACTAATTCAGCAAATTTTGTTTATATTTTACAGAATTATAAAATGAAATTGCAATGTTCATCCAAACACACATGACAAAAGAGAAACAACTCAAATCAATATATATGAAATAGTTATTAAGCAACACAAGCTAGTTGTGCTTGTTTAGCCTTTAGACGTTGCTGTTTTAATTGTATATGGTTTGATTATGATAATGAGCTGTAAATATATATCTAAATAAAGATAGTTTTGATGCTCATAAGAATATATTTTGAAATGTTACATTTCATGAACTAATTCTTTCTGTTGCTTTAATCCAAGGAGTTTAAGATTTAAACTTTTAAACAATATTTCCAGGCAATTCAGCATAGTGTAATATCCTTTAGAAAACAGCAAATTATGCAAGGTAGGGGTAGATGTAGGATTGGTCTAGGGTTATTAAAAGCAGTACAGAACACTTGGTCCAATCACTACCATAGCGGGCGTTCAAAATTGCTCCCGACACTTTTTAAATTAGACAAGATGCACTCCTTAGAATATGTAGTAAAAGTCTTTCAACAATGCAAACTTAACGCATGAAACCGTACAATGTAATTTGTGTCTGACAATATAATATACGTTACAACAACACAAGCATAAATCAGATATATTATCATTTACATCTTGTTAAAGTTCAAATAAAGTGTAAGTTCTTATCCTCTGTAGTCCAGTTTGTACTAATTTGAAATAACAAGAATTCCACGTGTTACAATGGTTGATTGGTTGATTGGTGTTTGGTTTATGTCAAATTGCAAATATTCATGCATTATCACGATGAAAACAAACATGACAAGTAAACAAAATGTTGGTCCTGTAAAAATATTACCTCGGAATAGACTACCGACAGATCCCTCAAAGAGTTGTTGCAACAGTACTTAACTTGCAGGGTATTTGCCACTCCCTCTAAACGAGGCATCGGATTTAAAGTCCCAATTGTGATCTGTTGTGACTTCGTATTTACACATCCGACACAACCAATAAGACGCCCAAGTTTGTTAGGAGTTTTACTGCCGATCTAAAGAAGACCACAAGTGACAAATTTTCTATTCCCCAGTCACCCTTGGTATACTTTGTAACAACAGTTGAAATATATGACGACCCCAGTCATCCTTGGTGTTCCGTGAAACAACAGTGAAAATATATGACAACTCAATTGTGATGCTAATTATACGAGACAGTATATATGTAAATGTCTTGGAAATAAATGTATATTTACCATTGCTGCTGGCAGTGTATGTATGTCTGATGTAAGGGTTTTCCCCAAAATTCGCGCGCTTTTGAATGAGTACTCTGCAGCAAATGAAACGTAGATGGTTTACCGAAAAAAAAAATACAAAAGTAAAATGAAATATATTCAAGAATATTTAAAAAAAAAATAATTTATCAAATGCAACTTAAGAAATGTGTCGTATTCACCATGTTTACTATTTGAAAATTCTAATAAAAAGAGGGCGCCACTTGCATCGAATACTACCAATGGACGACATGAAAACACTCGGTCATAAAAACAAAAGAAGATACTTGATTTTCATTATAGTTTCAAATATTTCAGTCTGGTAAGTAAGAAACATTTAACCATAATTTGTTAAAGCATTCAATGCTATTATCAAAATAGAAAGTTGAGGTTTCTGGTGGAGTATTGGCACATTTTCATCAAAAGGGGGGATGGAATCAGACTTCTAATCGATGAAGATGGTACTAGTTTTTACATTAAATACGATAAAAATGAGTATGGTTAGATTAAATGACTTAAACAATAACCTTGCTTTTGACATGTAATTCTCATTTTATGGTATTTATTTATTTCTCTTCAATCATTGATCCAAGCTCAGCTCGCTTGATAAAATTAAGAACTGAATGTAAAACCTAATAAGCTTAGAATTGAAATTAAATATTTGCAAGAACGGTTGTAGGCAACAAAAATCAGACACCAAACCCAACAAATGAAGTCAGGAACAGAACAAAAACCTTTAAGTTATGGAAGAATAACAAAACACAGATTACTACATGTATTACTCGAAACACCCACATATTAAATTGATGCCTGATGATAAAAAAACATGATTACCATTTTAAGGGGGAAATGCTGCCAGGACCTTGTTTCAATTCTTATTTTTTTTTATTCTAGCATCAGAAATTAATCTCTCATTGCAATCGAAATGTACATGCGACTTAGGATGACAAAACTATATATAAAAAATGATACAAATTATATATTTATAAATTCAAACTGACGGAAATACACATTACCATAGATATTTGTGTACATGATGTAATACACAAGGTCAAAGGCTAAATGTATCTATTTGAAATTTTAGTTTAAGGTGTGAAATCTGATTGTAAAATTGAGAATGGAAATGGGGAATGTGTCAAAGAGACAACAACCCGACCATAGAGCAGACAACAGCCGAAGGCCACCAATGGGTCTGCAATGCAGCGAGAAACTCCCGCACCCGGAGGCGTCCTTCAGCTGGCCCCTAAACAAATATGTATACTAGTTCAGTGATAATAGACGCCATACTAAACTCCAAATTATACACATGGAACTAAAACTAAAAATGATACAAGACTAACAAAGGCCAGAGGCTCCTGACTTGGGACAGGCGCAAAAATGCGGCGGGGTTAAACATGTTTTTTGAGATCTCAACCCTCCCCCTATACCTCTAGCCAATGTAGAAAAAACAAACGTACAACATACGCACAGTAAAACGCAGTTTAAGAGAAGTCCGAGTCCGATGTCAGAATAGGAAACAAAAGAAAATAAACAAAATGACAATAATACATAAATAACAACAGACTACTTGCAGTTACTGACATGCCAGCTCCATACCTCAATTAAACTGATTAAAAGATTATGTCGTCATCATATGAATATCAGGCACAATCCCTCCTGTTAGGGGTTTAGTATACATACTTTATTCTTGCAAACAATGAAGCAATCATGATTTCATCTTTTTAAGAAGGAAAAAAAATATAAACGAATATGTTCATGTGTAGCTAAACTTAAAGCATGTCTACCCTTTTCACTTATATAATCAATCAATAGCAAAGCTGATATCCATATTTAGTTCGGCACCGAATGCCGACTTTGGAAAAAAAATAACACCACAATAACAATACAAGTTCCACTGTTATGTTGGTTCTGATCAGTGTTTCACGCGACTCATGTCATTTCATTGCACTCTTATAACTTGAAATATTGGTTTTTGCAATTATATAAATTTTAAGATGATCTTTCTATTTCTAGTTTTTATTTCCATAGTACTTACACATTTATGTAGAAATTGTCTAGTGAAACAAAATAACAGCATTAACATTGTATGTCTTTTCCGTCTTTCTTTTGCTTCCTTTTACATACAGACTAAGTTTTAAGAATGTGGTTAAAATAATATTACATTATAGACATTTCCCCAGATTATTCATTGAATTATTTCTCTTTGATCGTTAGATACAAAAACATTCAAATCAAATCCTACAAATTACAACACTGCTTCTGGGAACAACAATAATCGATAACACGACTGTGAAAAAGTTCAACAAATAAAACTGAAAAAAACTAGTTCTTTCAGTTGTTTCATAAAGTAGTATTTCTTCTTTCGGAAAGAAAATGAAACTGGCTACCTCCTAACAATTTAAGTTCTTTGTGTAATGAAAAATCAGCAGTGACTTCACTGACTTAAGCAAATAATAATTGTTAAAACAAAGAAATGCAGTAGTTTATAGTGGACCAGATCACAAATCTTCGAACTACAACAAAACCTGACTTTATTCCAAAAAAATACGCTTATGGTTTGCTGATAAAAATAATAATACACGTGTGTAATTCATATTTTCAAATTTATAATGTTACAAATATAATAATTTTTGTATTTGTTTTTGAGAAATTTTTTTTTAGGAAAGGAAGTTATAGTTAGATAAGTCAATAGAGATTTCAAGGATTTGAATTTTCTATTTTAAAGCAATTGTGTCAGGTACTTTTGAGAGTAGTATTTGTTTGTATGCGTTTTCTCCAAAAGATACAAGCACCTAACGTGCAAGTATAACATGGTAAATTGAATTTGTTAAACTCATTATATTTGCAATAATTATTAATAAACCGTCCATAAACAAAACAGCTAAATCATTAAATTGAAAAAAAGTAAACACTACAGTCAGAAATAACAAACCAATGATTTTGGATTAATTAATCAATTCATCTTTTAAAAATAAAGAAAGATGTGGTATGAATGCTAATAAGAAAATTATCCACAAGTGACTAAATGATACATATACTTTCATGTAAGTTATAAGTTTAAGCTGATAAAAGTATATTCTTACCTTTTGTGTGTGTTACAAGCTATGACCGCTTATTATTTGAATTCTTATCTATGTCATAATGTATATTGAAACAATCGTTTTGATTGGACGATACAATTTGATGCACCCACATTCAATTTACCAATGTTTAAATTTTTTCTTTTCTTTAAAAAAATAATCCTGCATATCAAAGAGTGCATCTCAATTTCTACGAAATAGTCCTAATTTGAATTCATTGATTTAACAATTGGACATTTGTTTTTGTTGCGTGCATCAATTATCACGACCTTTACCCTTTTTTAGCATAGATATTGATGACGCTGGAGTTCATATAGGAGGAAGATAACATTATAATACAGAACATTGAAAGCTAGGTTTTCATTTTTATTTTATACGACAACATTCATAATCAAATTGATGTATGTTTATTTTCCATACCAAATGATTATCAATAATAGAAAATGCTAATGCGGAAGCCAATACACGTCATTAATGTTTAAAGGGAAACACATAACAGCTAGGAACAGTGCCAATCCCTAGCAATACAAACAGTAAAAATTTATACACATACTTTTGATCAAAAATTTTCACACCATGTTAAAACGTTATTCAAATCAATAAAAACTTGCAGCTTCAAGTTGTGATATTCCCATACTTGTTGTCATTGAATACATATAAAAAAGTATTTTTTTTTTTCAATTTTTATTAACCTTTATCATTTGTCCTCTTACCGTGCTTACCGTTAATGTATACAATTTCCTTGATAAAAATTTCTAGTGGTTAAATTTCAATTACAATTTAAAAAACTCATCTAAGATACTTGAGTTTAAATATAGGTACGACAGGCGCGCTTTTCGTCTACATAGGACTCATCAGTGGCGCTCTAAAAAAATAGTTGCAAAGCCAAATCGTATATTACAAAATTAGATAATATAATAATAAGATAAGAAAAAAATATTTTGATTCGGCATAAGTCAAATATACAACACAAGCTCTAAGGGGCTTTTGACCGAATATAAAAACATTTCTCTTATTCTTCGTCAATTTATCCCTTTCTGCACCCATTGTATAAAAAAAATTTAATCAACGTGTGGTTCGTTTGATCTCAGTTCTTCATTGGTTAAAATTCGATATGACGTCGAATTTTCTTGCTTTCCTCTGAATTTCCTATTGTTACGGCATGAAAAAAGGCGACCATGCCTGATGACGTCACATAGAAAGAACACATCTTTTTTGCAGATCATTCGAAAAGAAGGAATAAATTTGCCTGCGTATTGTTTGAAAATCATTAGAGAAACAGATTCCAACACCAAATCTCGTGTAATACGATATTTATCCACTCTCGACAGTTAAATTTTAAATATTTAAAACGCTCGGCGAGCCTCGCGTTTTAAATTTGAAAATTCAACTGTCTCGAGTGGATAAATATCGTATTACACTCGATGCAGTGGTAGAATCTATATATACATAACATATAAAACAACCTGTAATAAAAAGTTGAATCTCACACACATAGCATGCAATAAAAATTAAGCAAAAAATTCAGAATGAAGTAAAACATTGTTTACCTATATAAAAGTTTAAACTTGAGATTAGAAATATGGTAACTATTTAAATAAATAGATTACTTTTATAAAAATCGAAGTTTAGAACTATAGTATATGCTTTGAGATCTAGAAATTTCAAAGTACAGAATATTTTCAGCATGAATTGATTACCCAATTTCTTGAAATATGTGTCAGAAATTAAAATTTAAATATAAAATAAATCGTGAAGAAATACATCAATATTAGTCCAAAGCAACAAAAAGCAACATAAATACAAAACAGCTCAAGAGTTATCTGCAAGCAGAACAGCGACATTCCAAACCGTTCCAGGACTGAACAAGTCTTTTAAAATGAGAAAAACTATTTTCAGTCCTGAAATGGTTTGGAAGGCTGTTCCATAAAGTTGCGGCAGCAAATCGGAAAGATTTTTTACCGTAACGGGTTGACTTTACCTGTGGATCAACCAGAATATTTACATACCTGAAAGAATACTTAGATGTTTTGACACTCACCAAATTTTGTAAGTACACAGGAGCTATATTGTTCGTAATCTTAAAAGTTTCTGGAGCCATTGTTCTTATCCGTCTGATGTGCAAGGAGGGCACCTTAGCTTTATGTAAGAGGTCAGCGTAGGAGCAGCTAAAATATTTGTATACAAAACGGAGTGCTCTTTTCTGCTCCTTTTCTATTTTTTTGAATTTTTCTCAGTGCAAAAATGCCATGCCGAAGGGCAAAAATCAAAATTACTAAGAATAAAAGTATGAAAAATAGTAAGTTTATTAAGTCTATCCAAAACAGAGCCCAAACGTTTCAAAACATTTAGTCGCTGATTGAGCTGATATGAACATCAAAATATAACTGATAGTCAATTTCAATGCCTAATAATTTTACTGTTTTTTCACATGTAAGGTTCGAATTTTGAATATGTATAGATGGGTTTTCTTCGAATGTCTTTTTGCCAACAGCCAAAACTTGAAACTTGTCGGGTTTGCTTTGAACAGCATTAATAACCGAAAATTCCATAAAGATGTGGTCAATACGGCTAATATAAAATTAGAAGATGTGGTATAATAGCCAATGAGACAATTCTCCACCAAATGACATAGAAGTTAACAACTATAGGTCACCGTAAGGCCTTCAACAAAGAGCAAAACCCATACAACATAGTCAGATAAGTCAATCTATACTTTTGAGTAGAACAACCTAATCTGTTTTTTTTTTATTTCAACATTTTATAAACAGAAAATAAACATAATAATTATATTTCATGTCAGTATAAAAGTGCTGACTACTGGGTTGTTAATTATATCATTAGTCTGATACTGGTATTTCGTATTGCGTTCTAACATATATTACAATGATGTTTAAATTGTAAACTTGCAAAAACGATTTCCCTTTTCAATTATAACATGTATAATTCGACTCGTCACATCAAAAGTGTTATTTTCATTTTGAAGGCAAAGGTTGTGACATGTTATCAAATATAATTTACGTGTAGTTAATGTATCAAATGCATAATATTAAACCAGATATTACACCAATGGTGTATGGAGTTTAAATACAATAGAGAGATTTTGTCTCCCATATTCCGTTAACAAAAGTATTTACAAAAATATCGAACTCCAAGTTAACTTAAAAAAGGAGGAAGTCCATAAAACCTGATCAAAACTTAACGCTCGGCTATATATCAATCAACGATATGATTGAACGACAACTAACATATTCCTGACTTCATAGAGGCAATTTCCTAAGAAAGTATTGCAATTTAAAAAATGGCCTCTTACGAACGGTATTTTTACTTAAACAAAAATGATTTAAGATAAAGTGTACATGATGTATGTAATTTGCTTCACCAGACATGCATTTCTTGTACATAAAACTCATCAGTGGCTAACGTATTAAGTCAATTAGAAAGACAAATCAATTACAAAGTTGACGACAATTGAAATTTGTTACAATCGCTAACAGTGTGTACCAAATGTGTTCGGAAGTAGAAAAGCCATACACTGCTGTACCCATATTTTTGAAATTTTTACTTATTATATCTGTTTGTTTTGTTCACACATTGTTGTCAACATAATGGAATTTCATGCGACTGTCATACAAATGAGAGGTTTAGCTAACTATAAAACCAGGTTTAATCCACCATTTTCTATATAACGAAATGCCTGTGCCAAATCAGGAATATGACAGTTGTTTTCCATTCGTTTGATGTGTTTGAGGTTTTGATTTTGACATTTGATAAGGGACTTTCCAATTTGAATTTTCCTTTCAGTTCAGATTTTTTGTTATTTTACTTTTTTTGAACCTTAAAATACGTAGGTTAATTAAGATAAATGAGCCAATAGCTTTTTGTAAATATTTTGTTTTTAATCGTGCTATGACACGGTTTTTCATATTCATTTGGAAGGCGTTTCGCGTGTTTATATATCGATTTCTTCATATACTGAGATATGAACGCTAAGCATAATTCATGGAAATTGAGGCACTAGCACATATAATTTGTTCGACCATAAGCTAATTGATATAATATTAACTCCATTGTTGCAAGAAATACTTAAAATTACACACAATAATTACAACTTTGCGAGATCTAATATTTGTATATCGTTATTTTGGTATTTCCACTGCATATATAATGTCCTGTTCAATTATTGAACAATTAAAACGCATATAGTAAACGTTTCATGAAATATTAAGTTCCTCATAATATAAGTTCCAAAGGAAAGAAATGTCAGAGACTATTAATCCACTGGAACAAATATTACAGTCATATATTACAAATATTACAGTATTTGTTTCAAACGGAATTTAGTGTATAGAATACAGGAACAGATATTATGGCATTGTTTTTAACAAAATTTCTAAGGGAACTTCTGTTAGGTGGAACAGATATACGTTTACAAACGGAATGATACGTAATATCACTGGATATGTTAATGACAATAGTTAAGATTGAAAGAGTTTAAAATATAATCATGATAATCTAAAGATCTGTAGCAGGTACAATAATTGGAAACCAATTAATGAAAATATATCTGATACGCGTGGGGATGAACAATCTATAGTACATTAACCTTAGAGTATAATTAGTTTGTAACTGGATTTATAAAGTGTCTGTCAGATGTTGATGTTATCCTCCAAAAGAAATATTCGTGTCTTTAATTTTTACATTTAATAGTTATTATCATTATTATTGTTAATTGTATGTTGATCGAAGAGATTTGACCTTTCTGTAAAGGGCATAACCCCAGTTAACGGTTTTTGAAAAGATAAAATTAGCTTTAACTATAAAACCAGAGGTCCTAAATCCATGGGGTTGTTAACAATGACATCGGGAACCAATGCCCTTTACAGGAGCACTTGCTATATAATGAGTGGTTGGGGTGAGCCGCTGGTTTCATGCTCCATGATATATGAAAAGGGTGAGAAATTCAGATTAAATATATCATTAGGTTGATAATTTTACTTGCTTGATTATATCATAAGTATCAGAAACTAATCAGATGTCAG